GTAGGGTCAGAGGGGCACTTTCCCCGTGTCATTCTGTTTGTCAGGGTGGGGAGGTCAGGGGCTGAGTGTGGTGGTGCCACACAGTGACTCCCAGCCTGTGCCTAGAACAACCTTCTGCTCTTGAGTCCTCACCCTCCTGCCAATCCGCATCTGCTTGGAGATCACCGTAAAATCTGTGGTAAAGGCATGTACATTGCAGACAAAAATGAGCATGAATTACCTGCGGATCTTAGTTACCTGAGCTATTTCTGTGCTAATTACTATAAATCATTCACCACCATGTGTAAATGTAAAGTTACGTTGAGATTTCCAGAGCTCAGGATTTATATGGACATTTTGAATCCTTATTTCCTTTGCAGGGAGCTCTATTCAGTGTCTTTATACGTAGTAGGGTTACCTAAGCCCATGGAAGAGTGTTATTTATCTAATCGCAGGCCTCAGGAACAAAACTGAGCTTTCTTATAACTTCTCTTGCAGTTTCTGGGTATTTGTAGAGATGGGGGTCTTGCTATGTTGTCCAGACTGCAGTACATCATAGCTCACAGCAGCCTAAAACTCCTGGACTCAAGGGATCCTCCTGCCTTAGCCCCCTGAGTGGCTGGGACTGTGGGCGTGCACCACGGTGCCTGGCTTTGCTTTTAGGTACTTAACGCAGTTTGTGTTGCAACTTATTTTTAAGTTTATTCATTCATGTGTTTGTTGAACAAATATTTATTTAGAACCTGATATGTGGTTGATATAGGTTCTTCTTAATATATTTTTTAAGCAGACAAGGGGAAATTCTCATTTGAATTTAATTCTGACCCCGCACATGACAGTGCAGTTACAGTCTGTGTGAAGGTTAAGTTCTAACATAAACCTATGAAGAAAAAATAATTAGCTAAAAATATCCTTGAAAAATTCCTTAGTTTACCCACAAACAACATTTTTCAAGGAGTACTGTGTAGCTGTTTCCCTTCTCTTGCTTGAGAACAAATCACTGCTTTTTTCATTTGAACACTGGACCAAGTAATTGGAAGTTAGTGTGTGTATGGGATTCGTGTTGTTTGAAATTTACAGTCAAGGCCTTTAAACTTAGATGCCCACTTAATAACAAACATTGTGTGCCTCGTGGTACCGGTTCCTCACTGCTTGAGTCATGGACTGATCAACATTTAATGAGCACCTACTGTGTGCAGTGATTGTGCTTGGTGTCTGCACACAGAAAACCTGTAGGAAGATGATATTTGCCCTCAGAGAGCTCCCAGTGTGGTGGGGATGACTGCCACAGTGTGTCTGAATGCAGCCAGTGA